CTGTAGTAGTCTTCTTGCGAATGTCTGACAAAGGTGTTCACGTCTTTGCTGTAGTGTCATGAGGCATAGCGTGTTACAAGCGTCAGTATAGGTTGTGTAGTCAGGCCCAAGGATGATTCGAAAAGCCCTTCGCTGTATTCTTTCCAGTTGACGTCTTTGGGACTGTGTAATGGCTGGTTGCCAAACTGGGACAGCGTACTCACAAGTGGGTCGGACAAAACTTGTATATATGGTGACAAGATCTTCTCTAGTAACTCCGAAAGATTTGAGTCTTCTCAAGAAGAAAAGCCTCTGGCTTCCTTTCTTGGCCATGTGGTCCACCTGGGTGTTTCATTTTAGGTCAGCTTGTATATGGAGCCCCAGGAGTTTAGCTACTTGAACTTGTACTAGGGGGTAGTTGTCAATTTTAAGGTCCCATTCGTGAGTTTTTGTTAACTATAGCCGCCTATGGCAAAATACGTAACTTTACATAGGCCAAAACCCAATAATTTGAATGACAGCCATCTAGTCTATCCAATCAATTTTGAGCACAATGGCCGTACATTACGTCAAAAAATTCCCAACCAGATCTAACCCAACAATCTCTTTTTATTTATTTATAAACTGCACTTGGCCACTCTCCGCCAGAGGTCCTCCAGCGCTGCTACCTCCTGACCGCATTACCCATCACAACAGCGTGTAAACATCCGACCTGTCGCGCGGATGTCAACACTTACCCACTAATTTTAGCACATACAAACAACCTCTCATATCACAAGCGGTTTACGCCAACTGACTTAGCTAAAATGCAATTTCTGGCGGATATAAACACACATCCATACACGCATTTAATTTTTAGTACGATCTACTTGAGAGTACCCACGCGGAAGAATACCGGAATGAGACCTTTAGTGAGGGTAGTGGTGGCACAGTTTTTGAGAAGTGCAGAAACATCACCTTGCATTTGCGAGGGTAGGTAGGTAGGTAGTTCGGTAGGTAGGTAGGTAGTTCGGTAGGTAGGTGGGCAAGGCGTGGGGAGGGCGCTGTTGACGCCTGCATGACCCTCAAAAGGTTAAAGGTCATGGGGCATAGAGAAGTCATAAAGAAGTGAAATTTTGTTTTGGGTGTAACTATTGTTCTTTTGTTAGTATATTGATGACGAAATTGTTTACAAGGTAAGTGGGGATTAGAAAAGGATGAGAAGGAACCCTGTAAAAGGTAAAGCACACACAAAAAACATATTGTAAGTTACACTACAATGACTATGTACAACGCAAACCTGTCTATATTAGCAACCGCTAATATTACTATCTAGTTAAAGTGTAACGTTGTCTATCTTATATTGTACGGCGTTTTATAATGTTGCGGAGGGATACAACGCATATAATGTGATTAGCGGAAGCTACGTGGCCCTACAACAGTGGACTACAGGGTATTACCTGGGATAACTCAAAGGGAAATTTGGTGCTGGGAAACATTTCACCTGCTGAGAACCTAGGCTAGGGGATTTAAAAAGTACTAGTTGAAAGGAACAAAATTCTCAGTCCTGTCAATGCAGAAAAGCTGGAGAAAGTTTTAGAGCAAATTACGTAATTAAAGTAACTTTTCTGTTAATATTATTATTAAAGCATTGGGACATCACCTGAGATAACGTTATACTTGGGACTAAATATAGAAATATAGATCAAGTACACTTTTGATCACGCTTTTCAAGTTCCATACTTTTGCTCAGCCTCAGACTTTCCCCAATTCTCCGATTTTTAAATCAAAACTGTAATGCTTTTCCAAAGGTTTTAACTTGCACCTTGTTAAAAACAATAATCCTTCTTGAACTTTTATACATTCAATTAAGGTTAAGTAGCCAGGCATGTACATTGAAGGAAAACATATAATAACAAATGATAAATAAACATATTTTAATGAAACCTGATGATCTGTGTATCAAACATCATCTTTAAAATTTATAGAAAAAAATCACCTATTGAATCTTATTAACTTGAATATCTTCAATATTTTAGAGCAAACATCAAGGAAATTTGGGTAATCAGTTTTGCCTCTTCAGAATTGTACCATCATTGAAACAAAGTTATTGAAAAGTCTAACCTTGTATTAAAAGAGATATACATCATGTATTGTAAACAGATGTTTGTATGTAAAATGACAAAAGAAATTATTTCCCACTAGAAAGATATCATTTGCAAAACATAATACATAATGTTTACTTTCACATGGTCTAGCCAATTAACTACTGTTCTGTTTATTCTTACTTAAGACATTCATATACTGTACATGTATACGGTGACCAGCCCACCGACTCCATCCTGCTACTTGTTGTATAATGTAATGCAACTCCACAGGGTGTCTGCTATAGTACCAGTTACCATAGTGACAGCCCTCTGGTCCAGGTCATTTTAATACCTGTTTGAAGTGGAAAAAGAAGAAGAAACAGTACAAAACAAATTTCCCTTCTGTGAAGATGAAATTGAACATAATAACAATCGTTTACTTCCTTATATAAATTAATGATTCCATAACTGAAAGCTAGAATTTTACAACCATTGGAGGAATACATATAACTTCGTCAAGTGATCTTGTCAGCTTAGCTAACTCTTCTTTATGTCTGTCCCTCACACGTTCCAGCTCCCACGTGTATCCATCCACCACCTCACTCCATCTCCTTATACACTCCTCCACTTCTACTGTCTTTTCTTCTGGAACAGCTGGCTTTTTGCCTCTCTTCTCTTTGGGTTCTTTTTGAGCCAGGATGAGCTGTGTGGGGACTGGGTGTTTACTTCTGCATCTGTACTCCATGGAGTGCATCAGGTTAGCCTCTGTGGCCAGTCTTTGGTCTTCGGGAACTTCCAGAGAGGTGTGGCTAGAATTTTGCCTCCTCTGAAAAGAATAAAAAAAAATATAGGAATTAAACAACTGTGCTACATACATGTTTCGGGACAGGGATATGATCATCATATGTAGCATTACTTACACTAGCATTATCTGACAAGGACTCCCCAAGGAATCATTGAAAATTGCCAACAGGCATGTATTTCCTGGTAAAAACTAAACTAAACTAAACTAAACTAAACTAAACTAAACTAAACTAAACTAAACTAAACTAAACTAAACTAAACTAAACTAAACTAAACTAAACTAAACTAAACTAAACTAAACTAAACTAAACTAAAAATACTACAAGGACATCATACTGCAAACAACAAACCTTTTCTTTCCATGTTTTGTTTGTAGTACAAAGATGGTCCTCAACATCCTCCAACTGTGACAGAAGGTCCAGGGACAGGGTATCAAGGGTTTGTGTCAGGTCATGGAGTGATGACCCTTCGGTGACTTCACTGACCTGGGCATGGTGGCCACTGGACAACTTTGAATCAAGGACACTTTCCTGAGTTGGTGCAAGAAACACAGGTCAGTCATCATAAAGAGTGCAATGTCGGTAGAATGTATACATATATACTGTGCCTGCGTGAAACTTGTGTACAGTAATGTATTGTGCATAGCACTGCGGCAGAGCATATTTATGTATTTAAGGATGACATCCTGTTTATAGTTTTCAAATATTGCATCAGAAAAGATATCATCTGAAATGTTGACCAAACATCCAATGAAAATTGTGAAAATCTAGGTTACGCACAGGTGCAGTATGTTTTGCTGACATGCCGATAAGTGACGATATACATAACAGGGTACAGAGGCCTCAGGAAATCTACTCCAGTTTCAAACTGCGAAGAGGGGGAATGCAAGCTTAGTCATGTTTGTGACCACACTTTTGCTCTAGCAGCGCCACCTAGCAGTGATGGGAAGTAGTACAGTCAGTATTGCCATTAGGAAGCTTAGAGAATAACTTAAAAAAAGATTAACAGATAAATTCCTCTGGTTGGTGCAACAAATTCTATGTTACACATTCATCATAGACTGTTCATTTTTGCCCTGACATTAAAAATGTCCTTTTTTAAATGAGAATTTTACCTTGCTAATTGGTTAATTAGACAGTCCAAATGGCCCATGTACAATGTTTGTATAAACGTATGAAAATGAACTCCCACCATCCACTGCCAGAAGATATCCTGGTTTGTTGTCCATCTCAGCAGTGCTTCTTGTCTCCTCACCTCCTTCTCCAACTCAGACAGGTACTGAGAATAACATAAGTCATCAATAGGTCTTTAACTAGATATGTTGCCAAAGCCTGGACTCTATGCCAGCTATAAGGATCTATAAAGGTGTGCACAATGATTATTCTGATAATTTTTAGATCTGATGTCGAAAATTATTAAGGAAGTTTAGAAAGCAGGGGTCTGAATGGACTTTCAATTCTGTTTTTACTCCTAAGTATGGAGGTTTCATTTTCATTGTGTCTCTGTATTTGCTTGTGTTTCTATTGTCAAGTTCACAGGAAGTTAGGTCAAAGGTCCCAGAAAGGATCCAGAAAAGGATATATCATTTCCTGTCCTCAATTTCCTGTTATATGCATGTTTGTTGCTTTATGGGAGTCAGTGGGGAAATGCATATTACACATAATCAGCAAGAAATAAATTCACAGTAATGAACAAAAACTCTAAAAATATTTCATGGAGAATTTTTGACTTCTTGTTCTGCTTGAGATACCTTGTCCACATGATTGACATGTCTGAGCAGATAGACGTCCCTGGGACTGAGGTGAGTCCTGCCAGGTACCAGGCTCTGTCCTGACGTGTACCTGTGGATCTGTAACAAAATTGTAATCCTCATTTAGTCCATACTCTTGCAAAGCATCACAAAAGAATTTGGGGACAGAAGAGAGCAAGACTTGAACATAATCTATGGAGAATGAAAAAAAAAGATAACCTCTGGAGAAATTATCATTTTTTTCATCAAGATAATTTGTTTTAGCTTGAATGCTGTTTTGTTTCTTCTTCACCTGCACAATGCAGACTCCAGGAAGAAGAGTGTGAAATTTATATCACACTGATGGCAATCCTAATAAAACAAACAAACAAACAAACAAACAAACAAACAAACAAACAAACAATCTTGTGTAGTACATGTATTGCCCTTCTGAACTACTGGTATCTCTGGTACAGAAATTCACACAGACCTCATCAATAATTTGCAAACACTTGCATAATTACAGTAGCTATTTGTTTTCTAGTAAAACCTTCAGAGATTTCTAACTTTTCCAACCTTGTGAGTCAGCACACTTTTCTCCAGACAGGCTGCATGAAGACTTCTCAGAGCCAGTCGGAGTTTACCCAGAAGCCAGACTGTCACCCTGTCTGGTTCTGTGAGTCTGGACGGATCAGTTTTCCTATGTGCAGTTTCATCTGTGGGCACTGACTTGCCTCTAACCACCTGAAGTAAACAATACAGAACATAGACAGATGTTATGTCAGAGTTAAACTTAAAAGCTCCAGTTAGTTGGAGTCAGTGGGTTTAAGACTGACCTGACTGTCTTCCTCAGCTATCTGACCTAATTGCTCAGGACACATGACTTTATGCATGTATGATGTCAGCAATGGGTCAAAGGTTGTAGTAAGTCTATGTTGCCCCCCGTCCCGGTTGACCCCCATGTTCCTCTATATAGACAAAGGTTCTATAGTCTCTGTTAGCATCAAGTACAATGTCCAGGTAAGACATCTTTGGGAGCTGCACTTGGATTGTGTTACTTACTGCTGGGTATGCATCATCACATATCAACCCACGTTAATGTTTCTCACTTTTCTCATGTTGTTTAGTTTACCATTTTCCTCATGAAAAATAAAAATACAGACATTCTATCTGTGTTACAAAATGTTTTAGAGTCTTTTAAAGCTTTCCTGAATGTCTATAATGTTAAAATTGCTGTTGAATTGTACCTACATTTCTAGGTACTTTTACCTTGTGTGCGTAGACTGTGTTCTCTGCCCAAAGATGTGTGGGAGGTTGGGACAGTGTATTGATGGTGTCTGTGGCTGCAGTTAGCCAGCCAAACGCCAGGAGGAGCTCTCTGCTGCCGTGGTCCATGGAGGTGGGAAGGGACAGGAACTCTGGGGACCGGTAACCATGGAGATACAGGCACGTCTTCACTGAAGTCACCACTACAGCTGAGGAGAAACAACAACACAAGTAACCATCTACATTCCAAGGGGACCTTTTCTAGCACCATTAATGTAGACTATGATACAATAACACTGACTGCTTTCTTGGAATCTAATATAAAATGATACACATAGATCTAATGATACATATAAATCTATCTCTGAATCCAAATGCATAATGGCATTTCCAGAAAATTCATGTATCATCTTAAAGATATGGTCGATACTTCAGATTCAGAATAAGATTATTGTCACTTTCTACCTTGGCGTACCTCAACATACAATCTGAGACAATTCAAGATACTAGTAATTGTAAAATAGTGTGTATTCAGTTCATATGGTCGGTCAACATCTGTCATATGTTTTGTTCAGTGAAAGACTTAGAAACTAAGGGAGGCCAGGTAATTTCATTCTATTGGAATACATGGACTTTCAAATGTATCAAGTATACAAACCATCAGTAAGTTGTCTATCTGTGGTCATTTGTTCATATGTTCCTGGATACTTCAGAAGATGGTACATCAGGAACCACAGTGGCCTGGTCTGGGGAGAAATTGTGTAGATACTGTTTTTTCTAGTAGCAGTAGTCTTTGAGACCGACTGTCTGCATGTTACACTTATAATAAAAACATCTTCAGTTAACAAGTTACATGTAGAGCTGTATAAACACACGCATTAAAATTGAAAAAAAAAAATAAACAAAACAAAACAACAATTAAAAAACACAAACAAGATGGAATTAACCTCCTTGATGGAACAGATGCAACCACCTGTGCAACAGGCATGGCCTTTGACATGCAACAGGCATGGCCTTTGACATGCAACAGGCATGGCCTTTGACACTAATTAACACGGTTAATATTAATTAGCAGAGCATGTCGGGAAAGTTACGTGCATAATAATTAAGCATTGATCAATGCTGAGCGATGAAAGAAGCATTAATTAATGAATAATCAGTCAGCCCGCTTGGTTTGAAATCGCCACAGTTCGTTCACAAGAACGAGAAATGGACGTCCTAGCTTCTATCTGGACCCTCATGAAGACTCTTTATGAGGTAAGAAGTTAACGTTACATAATTCATTTCCTGTATATCCCAATTTATTACTCAATTTTGTATGTGCCGTTGTTATACTACAGGTCTAGCTCCTTGGTCCAAACAAAAGCTCCTTGGTGTAGCCTTGTTAGTAAAGTATACTACTACAGCTAGCATTGATCACAATTAATCATAACTTGACACACACAAGAGCAATCGAATCGGCTTGGCTTCATTCTTACCGCTTCGGGACGGTCGAACTTCGCTTGACGGAAAGTTTCCGCGGAGACCTGGACCTTTTCACCGAGTGTGGCTGTCAGAAACTGCGCCAGGCTTTGGATACACTCCTTTATCTGGGACATTTTGGAGTCGGGACAACTCGTCAGTTGCACAATTCGGTCCCTGGACAATCAGGACAAGTCGGAATTTATATTGTCGCTGTTGTTGTGGACTTTTGCAGACAAAAACGGCACCTAGGTTTGTAACACTCCTCTTCCTGCAAAGTTGATTTTGGCGGCCATATTTGAAAACAGCTGATTCGCTGCACGGGGTTACGACCCCGTGCGGAAATGCCACCTGGCGGAATATAGTTAACTTGCAATAGCGTTACCACTGATGATGCACCTGTTTTATAATTTTGGCGTGTTCGGTTTTACTTCTGGCGTTGTGAGTAACTCTATACCTCTGACAGTTCAAGTAAAAGGGCAGCTCCACTAAGAAATATTTATATCACCAACCATGTAATTTCTAAAAGCCTAGCCAATACTCCTACTATAGGACCTCAATTGAGTAAAGTGTGGAAAGTCGTATAAAGTGCCTTTCCGAAGAGCAAAACATCGGGTCATGTTATTAAGGGATTTGACCCAAATATATCTATGGTTTCTGAGCCTAACACCTAACCATCTTAATTGACCATGACAACTTTATTGCACAACAATACTGTACGCAGGTTACAGGTTTGGTATATCTACTGCACTTTCATAAGGATACTAATATCCTTAATAATACAAGAATGATTGGGTAGTATGGGATAGGTATGAACTTGGAGGAATTTCTAATGAACATTGGAGGAATTTCTGATATATATACGGTCTTTAATATATATCCCTATGTATAGGTGTCTACGTGTCCAAAACAACACTTCCTCAACTCGTACACTCTTTACTTTCCCAACGGTTGAAGACCAACTAATTCCAAATACCTGAGTAGGCGCACTTCTTGAGGGCGTGATGCATTTACTGCGCTACGTGTCCAAACCGGCGTATCCGCACTTTTTGTGCCAACACATACAGACTGATTTAGTGCTTCCGCCGTGTTACTCGGATATGCTGTATGCCATGTATCTTATGTCTCCACCTCTGTCTCCGGATGGCACGTAATGTATAAACCACCTCTGAGCTGCTACATCCATATGGATACTTCCTTGTCATTTGCCAGCGGCTAGCGGCTGTACGATACGCTCACAGCTCTTGTGTATGATAAAGATATTTGCTTGCAGCTTGCTATGACTATCTTTCCAGGGGACCCTTCAAAATTATAGATAGAGGTAGAGGCTGAGGCTGTGTACCTGAACACATTTTAGGTACAGGTACACGGGTTAAGGTACAGGTCTAAACCTGTACATGTACTTAAACAGGCTTAGAGTTAGACAACCATCGACTGTCGTTTTAGTGGTAAATTATTGTCACTTTTTGAGGGGCTGTCTTTTTAGTGGTAAATTGTTGTCATGATCACTGTTTGAGGGGTTGCAAATTCTAAGCTGCAAGAATATTTACAAGTTTTCCTGACTGTGCTGAATTGTTGTCTTGGAACTGTAATTTCTAGTGTGCACAACGGTCCCGGTGTCCACTAGTGTATTATTTTGTACAGGTATAGGTACGAGTATTAGGTACACAGCCTTACATATCAGTTCTTTAATTTGCGGCGCTGCCCGATCGCGATGTTGTGATGAACTGTGGTACCTCCTCTAGACCTGGCAGCGTCCAATTTCAATTTCACAGCCACTCCTGTCCTCTAATTCCGTGCCATCAACCCACATACTTCACGTTAGCTGAACAGTGTCTTCGGCTTGTGATCAGTGATGAGCTTCAGGTCATTGACCTAGAGGGTACTCAACCCTAGCTAGCTCTTGATAATGAAATACATCGCGTGATTTAAACCAGTTAGGAATGCGGCCCCCTTTCTGTAAATTTTCGGGGGCCACATGAATGGCATACTTGAAGGAAACGTCATATTCTGCATCGCAGTTTGAGGCATGCATATAACCCTCGGTGACACACACACACTTCCGCTACTCAATCTTATAACAACCGAAGAGGACATGTACTTGCGTCAATTGGTCCTTGAATGCAAGTAGGAATGTACCGAGTTCAATAAGCTACCCTATGTTCGTCATCATATTTATGGCAAAACACAGTGCAGTAGCTTGACACGTTTTGTACGTTCAATTTCCTCCTAAAGTATGGTGTTATTCCGCTAGCTACGTCACTACTGCCAATGCACGATGAATTTACCGATAGGCCAGAATACCCAGTGTGCTATTGCTATATCTCCCTCTAGTCATTCTGGTTTATGAATTTAGAAAGCTCACTTTACACTGTTGCTATGAATGAAGATCAGGAGAAGCTGGACTGATGCACTGCGTATAGAGGAGAAGCTGGTCCGGAGAATAGACCCTGACTAGAGTCTACAGCTTGCAGATGTGCCCTGTGTAGCAGAGACTGTCATTCGTCTATAGGACTGTTCAGTTATAGCCGAAGCTGTAGGGTTGATATCAATTTCCATGGTCAATATTGACTGAAGGAGGCCATATATATGAATGAACGTGCTTTCTTTGCATCCACTAGTACACTAACACGAGCAGTGGTTCGGAAAACGTCTGATCTTTTTTGACATTATAAAAGCCCTGAATACTGTACGTGTATAGTGTTACCCAGTGGCATGTGTCATGTGTTTTAACGGCTGCAATGGTTTGTAACATTCTGGGAATGCTTAATTTTTTAGGAGTGGTTCCTTGTTTAGTTCCTAGAACGTTTCCTTATGTATATATACGTATTTACTGAGATCTACCACATTTGTGGAAGGATTGTTTGATTTGTTTGTCACAATATCTTAATCAACGAAAAGCACAGGTCGCTTTTTATTGAGGTCATGATCAAGAGGGAAGAGGTACGGGTCAGACTGCAGTGTATCAAAAAGATAAGGTTTACATCATTCAAAGTCTTAATAAATCACATGTGCGGTGACTATTGACTTTTCATGACACATGCACTAGTATGTCAAGCCTAAAGCTAGGTACTGGGTACTCATTTTGATCTTTACCGAGTAAGGAAATGTGACATTTTCCCCAAAAGCACATCACTGGGGCCTGCCAGGGATTCGAACCCAGAACCCTCAGATTAAGAGCCAACAACCCTAACCATTTCAGACGGGATGCCATCCTTCAATATGAGAGCGCAAGATTTTTTCGCTTAAGTACGTCACCACTATTTATTGAGATCTAATTATCTATCCTATTTATTTAGTACTGAAAAGTATTTGACTGTAAAAAACAAACGTGCTAATCGGTATTATGGGGATAAGTATATGTTATTCTTATATCCCATTTTTTTTCACCTTGAATATTGTGTGCCACCACAATTCTTTATATGGTGATCTCAATTAATGGGATACTATCCCATTAAGAAAGAGATTCGGAAATTTTGTGTATGGTTCAGTTCAGTACGTACTAAATAAATGGGATAAATACAAAAGCTATGAGTCAACAGTTCTGTTGAAAAAAAACCACCCTAACCACAAGACCACCTTGCCGCGTACCGTATACACAGTCTTCTACAACATGTTTACCGGTATTAGTCACCCAATCCAGTAATGTATGTTGCATTTTGAAGCTGACGTGACAGTTAATCCGCCTGCTGTCGCCACACCTGTTCCTGAAAGCCGTCCCACACACAGGGCGGCTATCTTTAGCTCAATGACATGCAGTCAACGCCCGGCGAAAGTAGCACGTCGGCAGATCGTCATGTGTCTGTGCGAAACTCGGAATTTTAACGATTTCTGTTGGATGCTGATCTTGGATGATGATAGAAAACAATTTTTTGGTAAAATAAGACGTTCCAAATAATGATAACTCTCAAACACGACTACTGCAGCATGTTGGCAGCAGAACGTAGTGAGCCTGTGAGAAACCTGGACTTTCCACGGTTTCTGCTGGATGTTTGGACAATGTTGCAGAAGATAGAATTTTGCCCGTTGCAGACGATATTTTTCCGACACAATATTTGAAAACTACAGACGGATGCATGTCATTCTTGAATACGCAAGCGCAATCTTAAACGAAACGTCCTGCCAAAATTGCTATAGTAGTACGTATACGTTCTACGTTCTGCTGGCGAAAGTGGTAGAACAGTTTCAAATTGTCTTCTTCATAGAAATAGTGACGAAACTGAAGAAAGTAACAACATTCAAGCACAGTAGCTAGGTGGAAATAGGACAGAATTTTGAACTGTAGCTAATGAATTCCTAGTAAATTTGACCTCAGGGATTGATATAATGAGTAAAACAAATGAATCACTGTTATGTGTTCTGTTTAAAGCTTAGGTCAGCATATTGTGCATCTAGAGATCTGGATTTCTGTGCCTTGACTCCTACCTTTGCTTGAACCTTTGGCAATTCATTAGAAACTAAAATCAACCTACAGGCCGCTATTCATTGAGGTCACAGGGGAAGAGGGAGGTAATGGTAGGTAATTGCATTATATCTAATGGCCTTTAACGCGTCAAAACATCTGAGATGTTCCAATACGAAAAATCATGGATTTCACACCTCAGTGAAGTACTAGTAGTACTAGTATTCATTCATTATTGCGAATTTGAACACGATGAGTCCGTATATGTAGCTTCCCACTTGCTTCCAAAAGGTATCAAATATGAAGATAGCTGACAAGTAAAAATATGACAACTTCTGTGCCTTTTAACACTTCCTCCCAGCCTGCGGGGGGTCCATTTTGACATCCAATCTGGCCTTCCTGTCAGTCTGTGGTTACATCATTCCCCTCACTTCCTGTCACGAAACTGTATTCAAATAACTACGGACACACACGCAAACAAACAGTCGACAATCTCTCCCGAAAATTAAAAAAAAACTCTGTACATGTGTACACGGAAGCAACGCGAAGACCGTAACGCACCATTCATGACATATACAAACATTTTGTGGGGGTAAAACACACGGAAATGTGTATTTGTGCTTCCCCCTGCTGGGATGAAAGTGTAGAACCGTGTCTTTTTGAAAAGGGAATAATGGCTTGTTACTTTTGACCTGGTTTGTTGCTTCCCTGGAGGGGTCAGAAGTGTCAATATTACCATCTGTGTGAAACGTCAGTCACATCTGTGAGCTATGTAGGCCGTGTGTTTTGTATCCGAAGAATCTTTTTGAGTTCATATTCACGCATTTCATGTGAGGTCTGAGTCCTTTTATCTACCACATTCGCTTCTTTCTATGAAAAGTGAACTGACTCTACGGTTGCCTATCTATACATTTTGAAATAC